GAATCCGTAGCAACGGCATCCCTTCACCGTTAGATCAATAGACTAATGCATACTTTATCACAGAACTCTATTCTGTATGGATGATCAAGTAGTTTATCAACATAAACTTAAACGAAGGACGATTTTTAACAAAACAATGAAATAATAATAAAACAGAGTCGGGCCGGGAGCCCGACTATTTAAATTGGTCCGGCCGGCCCGTGAACCGCCTCAGCCCGGCCCGACCGAGGCCGCCCGTCCGCAAAATTCCGGATCGGGCCGAGTCTGGCGAGCGGGCCGACCGGTCCGTTTTCTGCCCTGCTATCCACTACATTTTTTGTGATTTTCGATAGTTATTTTTGGGTAATTATGTAATTATGGAAAATATTCGTTTAGACACTTCTGATTAGATGAAACAATTTGACATGTTTTCAACAGTAGAATGATGATGAGTTCGGGTTCCAGAAAAAGGTAACTATGGAATTCGATGCACTATATGAACGATAAAGTTTCATTGGTTTCAACGAAAAAAAATGGATTATTTGTAAAAGACTTGTGCACGAGATTATCTGATGAGTTGACAAGTCTGGAGTTCTATATAATCGTGAAACAACATGACATAACGAATAATCTTCTTCCAGTCGTATAATACAAAATCTTTCCTCATCTGCCTTTAAGATAATCTACCCTCGGTCGTAGAGTACAAAACCCTTGCGCATTCAGTTTCGAGATAATCTACTCTTAGTTGTAAAGTACAAAACCCTTGCTCATATACCTTTCAGATAATCTACCTTTAGTTGTGGATATAATACCGTTTATTATGTGTGTGTAGAATAATCTATCTCTCAACCGCTGAATGATAAACCTTTCTCATTAAAGCGCATGCTTATCAACTCTTCATCGAAAACACAAAAACCTTCTCATACGAAACGTAGAATAATCAACGTTCAAGTCAGTAAATCATAAACTTTTCTCAAATAAACGTTGACTAAATAACTATTCGAAAGTTAGTGTTGAACAATCTTCCCTCTGTCGTCGTATAATAAAGCCTCTCTTCAAAAGGTGTAGAATGATCTACCTTTTTTCGACAACCGTCGCATGATCTATCCTTATGTATAGAATAATAAACTCGTATGCTTGTGCTGTAGAGTGATCTACCCTTGTTCGTATGATATTATATTATTCTAAGAAGAAACGTACGTTGATGTATTCTAGTGGGTAGAACAATAAATTCTTCTGATAAAAATGTAGATTAGAAAACCCGTGAATATGTGTCACATATCCATTTCATTGTCAATATACCCCGACTGTCAAAAACCTTCTGATTCATAAACTTTTGAAGGGTATATGATGTCAAGATGAACCTTTCAAAAGTTTATTACACATTTTTTTAAGGGCAACGGTTGATTATGCTGCCCTTTTTTTTTACAGTGTAGTTCAAGAAAAACGTCGAGAAATGATAGATCAATCAAAAAGGAAAAGAGCAGAGTTGCATGTCTATGCTGAACGAACTCAACACCAGTACGATGGTCCGTCACATGATGAACCACCACCAATGAATGACTCCCAAAATCGAACATCGGCTCATATGATGCACTACCCAGGAAATTCCTCTCAAAGAACGTATGCTTAAGTCACCGCATTACAAAATGAACAGATACAAGGACAAAATATTGATCAAATCCTATCTGCCTTTTTAACCAATGTAGAACAGCGATTAAATGAAGTCTCAGCTCGTTTGTCAGAACAACTTTGCGAAATCGAAAAGAAAATAAATGCTCAATCAGATCGACATTTTGGAATTGAACATCTTATCAATAATACTGTATTACCAATAATTCAAGAACTAGGTCGAATAATTGCTCAATCGTCGAGAGGAAAAAACAACCAAGAAGAATCACTCTTCGTTTATACAGGCTAGAGATAAGTCTCATAGTTTTCTCTTTCCTTTCACATTGTTATCGTTCTCTTTCTTCTCTTCTTATTGTCACGTGCTTCGTGTGTCTTAAAGAGAAATCCTTACTTATTTGTAATTTCTCTTGTTCATGAATTTTAAGTCATTTTAATGACTTCTAATTCAAAGCCAATTAATTATCATCGTGGAGAAGTCTGTGAACAGACATCATCTGATCTTGTTCCTCATTTTGACTCTACTAAGGTGTCATCGTTTAATTCGAACAACGGTTCTGATCCTCAATTGGTTCATATTAGTATTACGGATGATGATTTATTGAAAAAAAATGATAAAACTCTTACTAATCCATCATTAACTGCTAATACTTCTTTGGTAAATTCTTCATCTTCAGCTGTTCGTCGTCCTCTGTCCGTAGATATCGAGGATGATGATTTTCAAACTGTTTCGCATAAAAGGAGTTCCGATCATGGTCGAAATCATGCTACTGTTCAAAAGGGAGCTGGTATTGGTTCATCACCTTCTGGTGCTAATGCTTTAACAACATCTTCATTGGATCCTGTCTTTCCTCATCTTATACAAAACGGTCCTACTGTTCGTACAGTCAATAATACTTCTTTACTAACGAAACAAATCGCAATTATCATTGAATCAACTCGTTATGCTCTTACACGGTATCCATTTTCCCCCGTTTTGTTTTACATTTTAAAACGGGAAAGATTACGATTAATCAAGTGAAAGAAGATTTAATTGGTCATTGTAAAAAGGTCCATCAAACGGACATTCAACTGTTAAATTGTCGTTCAACAAATACTGGTCTTCGCAGCAATGAATACAATATTTTGATTTATGTGAAAGATGTGCCTTCGTTCTCATTTCTATTAGATTATAAAAATTGGCCCAATTTGTTAGGAAATGAATCTTACATGCTGCATTCTTCACCTTCTATTCCACCACAACTGTGTTTATTAATCAAAAATGTAGATTTACATATTGATTTTGAAGATTTTTGTGATGCTATTAAAGATAAATATACTCAAATAAAAAATGTTTTTCGAATAAAAAATAAATTTCAAAATGATATAAAAATGATCAAACTTGAATTAACTTGTTCAACTGTTCGTGACCAATTATTATATGAACGTCGAATTCTTATTAATCATATTTCATATGACATTGCTGAATATTTATCTCCTGCTAACGTTTTGATATGTTCGAAATGCATGGCTCTGGGTCATTTTAAAAAGCAATGTACTCAAGTAAAAGAAACCTGCCGTACTTGTGGTGAACTGTTTGATGATATCAAGAATCACAAATGCTCAAAAATTGAAAAATGCATTCATTGCCATCAAAATCACAAGTCCACTTCTCTTAAGTGCCCTGTTGTGAAGACTTTTCGCGCAGAATTAACGCGAAAGTTACTGCGTTTAAGTGATCCTCCAGCACCTGTTAATACCTCTTCTTCTGCCTCGCAAAATTATATTTACAAGCCGTCAAATTTTCCTCCCCTTATACCTCAAGCGGAGAAAATTATTTTTTGTGCCCGGCTTTTTCATTTATTTGTGCCCGATGCTACTGATTAGTGCCCGGTCCGGGTACAAATAAATGTTTTCACATTTTTGTGCCCGGAAAAAGAAATGTGCCCGTCAA